GCTTCCCTTCCCGATGGGGCTCCTCCGTGTGCTGCCTGCCGCCCTCCGGGCCGGACGGTTGCGTGTCGTGTGCTGCCTGCCGCCCTCCGGACGGTTCTCCCGATGGGGCTCCTCCGTGTGCTGCCTGCCGCCCTCCGGGCCGGACGGTTTCCGTGTCGCCGCCGCTCCTCCCCGTCTCCTGGGGCCGCCCCGTGCGCCCCGCCGGCGGGGAAGGCGGCCTCTGCCCCCGCTCCTGAGCCCGCACGTTACGGGCCGTGAGCTCGGGTGGTAGCGGGAAAGGGAAGCATTTCTTTTGTTCTCGGGTGGCGAGAGCGCGAGAACAGCGGGGGGGAAAGGCCGTTTTTACGGGGAAAGCGGCCCCGCGCCTCATTTCTGTCCTCGGACGTAACTGCGGAGCTACTTGCTCGTTATCTCCTGCCCAGTAAAGGACTTGTATGGACATGTCTTCACTCAGAAAAAATGGTACGTTTAGCTCAACTAGAGGTGACTCCTGTTAAAGAGGAAGGCTAGAGGCGAGAAAGGAATTGGTTAGGGTTTTTACGTGATTTACCACTTTAGGGAAAAAAATCACTTAACCTGCTCGCTTCTGTGCAAAATACACGGTGCGTATGTGTGCGTGAGTTTTTTACCTGAAGTTACTTAAAGCTAAAAAATAACCCAGAAAGCCTCGCAGTTTTCCAAGTTGTGATGCTCGTGATTTGTGTCTCCTCACCACTGTGAAATTATGTCTCATAAAGTGTTACGTTTTTATCACAGTAAATTCCAAACTTAGTGGTTGAGGTCAGATCGCCACCTCAACATGGGAACTACAAATTCTTGTTGAGTGCTAATGTCACCGAAAATCGGGAATGAAACTCCTTAACACTGGGTGTATTACAAGAGCAGGCATTACTTTATTCGGCGCCGGGTGCATGGGGGATCTCTCCGCTTAGCATGCACACCATATGTTGCATCAACCATCTCTTATGTGGTTCTTTGATATACATATGCATCACATTTCTTGGAATAATCATACATATTCATTACATTTCCCAGAACTAACTAGAATACCTGCATAGTCTTTCACGCATGCGTTTTGAGTCCTTTAGGGGCTTCTACAGGGGTCTCTGGTGGTTTCTAGTGCTCTCTGGTGGTCTCTGCAGGAGGTGAACTTTTCCTTACGTAGTCACAAATGGGCTCATCACCGCCCTTTGTTACAGTTCTGGTTGTCCTTGTCCGGTTTCTGCTGGTTGTTACCTATCTCGCGATGTGCTCGTTAGCTTAGGCCTTGTATGCTTGACGTCTGCTTGATTAATCCAGCCGTTTATCTTGCAACTATTCACAACACTAGTGTGGAGTGAGATACTTTTCTGTTCAGTGCAGTCACCAACATTATTTTGTGGAACATTCAGGTCATCTGGGCAAAATACAATTTATAAACTTTAATATTTTAATTGGGTTTAAAATTAACTCAAATTGAGCAAACCCTTTGGTAATGGAAACAGTAAGTTTGTGCTTAACTGTCGGCATTGCTATTATTCTTTTACATTTTTATCAACAGAACCTCTACAAGAATACCTCCCTCAAGGTATTTAAAAGGCGTGTAGACATGGTGCTTAGGGACATGGTTTAGTGGTGGACTTGGCAGTGCTAGGTTAACGGTTGGACTCAATGATCTTAGAGGTCTTTTCCAACCTACATGATTCTATGATTCTATGAAGTACACTGTCAAGTGCAAAGAAAGGAAACTGATCTAAAGCAGAATTGTAAGATGATGGATCGAACTCTCTTGCTGTATAGAACCACACAATTTTTAGATCTCCTTTACAGTTCTGTTGAAATGTAAATAATTTTCAGATTTTTATGTCAGTAGCTGGAAATACATTTTTCCCTTACCTCCACCTGCTTTTCCCAGCCTGTTAGAATAAAACAGATCACAGAGCAGCTAGGAAAAAAAAAGTCTCATCCAAAAAGAATGAGTGGGACGGTTTGCTTTTAGCTAGGAAAATAGGTTAGCGCTGGAAATTACTAGGGTGGCCCTGTAAATATTTCTGTATACTACCAGCAAATCCAGAATAAGGACAAATCCGGGTTAGATTTGCCTTGAGTAACGTATATATGTACTCTGTATCGGGTTGTCAATGACATATATTTGTCCACACATGTATGTACATATGAATACGCTGACATTTAATACATGTTCTTAAAAATGCTGTATATTTAAAAATAATAAATACTGGTTTATGCCACCTGCATTTTAGTTTCTTTTAGAACTTTATAAAATTACAGCAAAGAAAAAAAAATCGTCTTTTTTACCATAACAAGACACTGTAATTAGATGTTCAGACATATGGCCCAATCCATCCTTCAAGCAGGCTGAGCTCTCCAGCTTTTTGGGGGACTACAGGCTTAAATCTTTCAGAAAAAAGGTAGCAGAGGCTCCTTCCCTCCAGCGCAACAATCCCCAGTCAAAGGGGATACATCCAGTGAGGTCCCTCTAGTGACTACTGTTTTTAGTCCAGACTTCTGCCATATCTTTAGCAGTAATCTGAAAGAGGATATAGAATAAATACCCACGACCAAATAAATAAATACCTCAGGTGACCAAATGTGAAGCGCTAGGTGATGATGAAGGTAGGTTGATTGAAGTGATCTTATGATATGCTAGCTTCCTTTGAACAACACATATCTTAATGCAGTTGAACTCAAAGTTACGCAGGAATGGAGATTTTAGGGCACACTAAGTATGAGGGAGTACCTTTTAGAGAATAGAGGTACGATAAATGCTGGGGAGGTCACGCTGCACAGCCAGCTAAAGATGAGTTTCCTCTGCTACCGTGCAACCGAGAACAAATGAAAGCTATTAAGAAGAGCGTTTCCCTTGCTAGCAGCAGGCCACAGGCTCAATGCCAACTTCACAAGGCCCCAGTCCTGGCCTGCGGGGCTTGTTATCAACCTGTGGCGAGAGCTGCCCTGTGAACTGGAGCTGTGTGCCAGACAGCTACTATGAACTGGAGTTTAACGTGGGATAACAGCAAAGGCCTTGAAAATATCGTTGAAAACGGAGGACCCAATATTATAAACAACTAACTGATGGCCAATTACTGGTTGAAAAAAACACAACATCGCAAGTTATGAAGACAACTGCTTTGAGCATGCTGAAGGAAAGCAGCAGCTGAGCAAGAGAAAAACAACCAAGCAACAGGAGGAGACGTTTGCTGAGACCTGAGAAAGTAACGCTGTCTGGTATCAGAAGGTATGCGTGTGGCTTAGGGGGTGGAGGCCAAAGGCTGCTGGCTGTCTGGAAAGCATCTTATAAAAGGAAAAAAATTCTGAATTTGGGGAGACCGTCATCATGGGGATCTGCAGTCATGATGGGGATCTGTAGTCATGACGTCCGTGTGGGATTGCTAGGGCTGCAAGCGTGCTACCTGCTCTCCCTGCCTGCGCCAAGGGCCCCGACGCTCCCTCCTGCGCTGCCTGCTCCAGGGGCCCTGCCTCTCCCTGCCTGCTTGCCCCAGGATCCCTGGCTCCTCAGGGACCTCTTGACCTGCCAGCTCATCAGGACTATGTATATCAGGATCATGTACGTGTGGTTTTTGCCCCACAAGTTCTGTGTGGTTTTCCTCTCTGATGCTCTTATAACAAAACCTTACTGCATGTAAGCTCAGCTTGGCTAATTATGATTCCTGGGTAAAAAGGCTGGTTTAACAGATAAGGTCATAACGAAATATAATGCTTAGAAGCTGAAATGAAAAAAAAGAGAGAACTGAAATCTGAGGTAACTAACTGTGAAGCACTTTATCTAGGATGCAATAGGTTCACTGTCACACAAGTCTTTAAATCAAGACTGAAAGCCTTCCTATGGCTATGCGTTAGCTCAGCTGTAAGTTATAGGCTCCATGCAAGCAACATTTACTGACATTCTCTCAGAATTCAAAGAAGTCCAACTGGATTACCGTAACGGCCTCTTCTGGTATTACAATTTATGACTTCATTCATCTGTTTTGTAGAAACTTGAACCTCCCATTGAAATCAACGATAGCTGTAAGATGCTCTGTACTAAGCACAGTCTGTCTTACACACTGTGAAAATTGAAACCTTCAGAATTAAGGAGCACTTTTGAAATGTGACTGAATTATTGTCGAGTTCGTCACCTATGTCAATGACTGAGGGTTACCTTTGATAACAGCTGACTTGGACAGTGAATTAACCAGCTGTTGTGTTCTCTGTTTCGTATTTATTTTCTGAGGAGGAAAGCATGCATGGCTATTTAAAGTATTGCACTTCGATCTTTCTCGTATCTTTCTTCCAGTGGTTTCCTGGTGTTTAGTAAGCATGCTGAAAATCAGGAAGGTCGTTTGTTCATTGGTATTTTATAAGTAAGGTGGGGCAGGACCCCTGGTACTTCTGTCACTCTAAAAATCTTGATGTTGTTTCTTTGGTTGCAAAACTAATAAGCTAAGGCTGTCTAGCAGACAGTTTTCATGACAGCAGTAAAGAATATACAAATCTTACTCCAGCTAAATGATACAAAATGCTGGTCAAGCATGGAAGCTGTCTTACTACTTTTAGGTAAGTGTGCATCTCATTTCCCTCCATTATCTCCAAAATGTTTCTTGCTGAGCATTAAAGTGAATTATAGACCGGTTGTAGCCATACACAGAACTCTTTTAAAGTGGCTCTGTTGTTTCACTGAGGTTTGTTGAGAGTTTTCTGATTTACGTACTACATGACCAGTCAATCTGGGTCACTAGGTCCCAGATATTGAAGCAAAAGTAGCTAAACTTTCCTTTACTCTGTGACATAAAATTGGCTGGTATTAAGATGTGCAATTATTCTACATGAATTAAGGAGTAGACATGATCTTGCAATGAAGCCTCCACGGCACATGAGGATCAATATGGCACATTCTGTTTGGCACCTAAAATCTACTAGCGTGGTATATGTGCTATATATTGTTGTCTGAAAGTTCAGGTATATCTGTAAGTGAACTAGCCGAGCTTTCCCTGTTGCTAGTTTATGTTTGCGGAAAACAGTGCTAACAGATTTTCGTAGCAAGACATCTGCAGCTAAAACCCCTCATCTGTGAAACTGTTTTCTAATAATTTTTCAACACAAATCTGACAAGTGTCAGGACCTAATGCAAATCAAATCACTTAATAAAATCTGTAATGAGTACATTTATCAGTTAAACAAAATAGTGGGGTTTATTTCTGGATTTGACATTTGGGAGCTCACAAAGCCCAGTGTATTTACCTTTTCTATTTGTAGCACTAGAAGGTGTAAAAAGAATCACAGTTCTCTCTTAACGCAAACAGATTCAGGGTCACTCATTATTCACAGTTATCTTACAAACGCTGGGATGCAGAGAAACTGGCTGTTACCTGGAGATGTCCTTGATTTCTATGAAGACTGCTATTGAGCATTGTGTCTGTTAGTGGTAGCACAATTTTGCCACCC